GCCCCCCGCTCCCCGCCTCTCCCCTCAGTGGGGCCTCCCGGGCTCCTCCTGCTCTGACCCGGCCTCAGCCCCGGGGCGCCCAGGGTGGAAGCTGAAGGCAAATGGAAACAGCCTTCGTGCCCGCCGGGCCGGGCCAGCCAGGCCAGCAGTGCCTGTCCGGTGTCCGTGTCTCGGTCACCTCCAGCCAGGCCGCCCTGTGGGCGGAGAGGGGCTGGCCGGGGCCGCCGGGCGCCCTGGGGTGGCGTGTCTGTGGGGCCCTGACCCTGCGGCGTGTGGGGAGGTCGGGCCTGGCCGTGGCCGAGTGCGTGCTGCCAACCTGGGCCCGGCCGGCCCTGGCCCTGCCTCCAGTGGCAAGCCGGTGCCCTTCTTGCTGGCCATGGGCGCCAGTGGGCCTGGGCGGGCCGGCCGCCGCGGTCGCTGAGGCCGTCTTCCCCCAGGGAGCGCCTGGAGCGGCCGTGCGGGGCCCAACCGGTCTGCGTGTACATGAGGGACGAGGTAGGAGAGCGGCGGCCGGGCCCCGCCCCTGCTTGGTCCTCAGCTTCCCGAGCCCGACAGTCTCGCAAGTGGCTCGGGCCACGGATGCTTGCCGGCCGTGTCCCGTGGACGGCGGCAGGCTGCTGGCTCCGCCGGCGGGGCGCCCGCGCGTGTCCCCTGGGGCTCTGGGCGGGGCGGGAGACTCCCTGCGTCCTAGCTTGGGTCCTCACCCGGGCTGCCGAGGGGTGGGGTGCGGGGCGGCGGGCAGGGCCCCAGAGCTGGGCGACCGTCAGCCCTGGGCATGCTCGGGCCGTGGCCCGGAGGGCTCTGCTGGCCTCGGGCGATTCTGGCCCCGGCCGGCTCCTCACGCTCCGCTGTCTGGGTTTGCGGCCCCGGGCGGGGCCTCCGCGCGTGTCTGTGGCCTCGGACAGGGCTGGCGGAGGCTCAGCCCGCGGCCGATGGCCACTGCGTGGGGCCTGGGCTGGGCAGCGTGAGGGCAGCCGCGTGTCCTGTCCCCTCAGGTGGCCGGAAGAGCAGCCTTGCAGGGCACGACGCTGCACTCCCTGGGCCTCACTGGGGGCAGCGCCATCATCAGGTGGGTGCAGCCGCCGGGCGGGGCCGCATGCACCCCGAAACGGGCCGCCGCTTCCCAGAGCCTGAGTGGGGGCCCCGTGTGTTGCTCACAGGTTCGCCATGAAGCAAGACTCGGCGGGCGAGCCGGAGCCCGGCGTCTCCCAGAGCAAGGCCCCAGGAAGCCCGGCCAGGGACCCGCCGGCCGAGCAGGCCCCTGGTGGCCCCAACCAGGGTGACCAGGGCTGTGAGGAGGCCCCGGGCACCGCGGGGGGCGGCCCCTTGCAGGGCCCAGGCCCCGAGCCCACGGGGGTACAGGTGGCCCGAGCCCCGCCGACTGCCTTCGTGCCGTTCTCAGGAGGGGGACAGCGTCTGGGGGGCCCCTTGGCACCTGTGGGGCCTCCCACACCCCCCGCATCTGGCTCGGCCTCGCCCCCAGGGTCCTCCTCCAGCCCCGGGGGTCCTTCCAAGCCCAAGAAGCCGAAACCAGGCCAGGAGCCTCGCGCGCTGGAGCCGGTAAGGGCCGTGGGGGCCTGGGCAGACGCGTCTCCAGCCCACTGCTGTGTGGAGGGCCCTGCCTGCTGGCCCCGCCGGGCCCCTCCCACCGGCCGCTGGATTGGGAGGTGGTGCTGGCGCAGGTGGGGTGGGCAGAGCGGAGGAGGCCGGGAGTGGGCCTTACAGGCTGGACGCGTGGCCCAGCGGTGGGCCTGGGCTGCCCTGCGGGGTTCTGGGCTGGGGTCCCCCAGAGGGCACCCGCCCCCAGCCCTGCCTGGCACCGTCGGCCCACAGCTGCCCTCGGCACCCACTCCCCCGAGGGAGGACGGCCAGGCGGGGCAGCGGCCCCAGGGACCTGGGCATCACGCTTCTCTGGGCCTCGCGAGGTCAGCCCCCAGCCTTGCTGGCCACAGCCACGTCAGCCCCACAGTGGGGAGAGGTGCCTGGTGCCGCTCGCCCGGCCGCCTCACTGTCACAGTCTGCGGCCAAGCGGTCAGCTCCCTGGCACCGTGAGGGCTTGGCCTGGCCCAACTGGCCTCTCCGGCCAGATCCGGGCACAAGCTGGCCGGGCCCTTCCCACGAGGGCAGCCAGTGCGGGCTCCCCGTGTCCTGGCAGCAAAGGCCCCGACCGTGTGTCCCTCTCCCGGGCACTGAGCATGGGGGAGGGACCTGCCCAGCCTCTGGCCTGGCGGCAGCTGGCCATGACACATGGCCGGCCTCACGGGCCTGCCGGGACCTCACAGGTGCGCTTTGGCGGTCCCGGGCTCGTGCGTCCTGTGGGTGTCGCTAGGGTGCGGCCAGGTTACGGCGTTGGGGAGACGGCCGAGCCTGGGCACTGCTCTGCTGGCCTCCACAGCGCCCCCAGGTCTGCTGCAGGCGGCCCCACGTGCCGCCTGTGGGGGCCGTGGGCCTACTGGGGCGACTCCTGTAGGGGTGGGCTGAGGCCTGCAGGCAGCTGTCCGCTCTCAGGAGAGCACTGGGTGGGGCCTGGGGTGGCCGGTTGGCTGCGGCAGCTGAGCCCACCTTGTGTCCAGGGCCCAGTGGCCTCGCCATTGGACAGCGCTGCCCTGTGGCCCGGGTGGTTACTGGGGGCGCCTCTGGGGCGTGGAGGTCTGGCCGGCAGACCCGGGGTTCATCTAGCCAGGGGGTGCAGCCAGGACGCCAAGACCCTGCAGGCTGGCCTGGTGGGCGTGGCCAGCGGGAGTGGCCGGGCTGAGGCCGCCTCGGGCAGCTGCATTCCTCCTCATGCGTCACCGCCGGGAGGGCTTCCGCCGGAAGTGGCCACTCCGAGGGTCTCCCAGGTGGGACAGAGCACCCCAGGTGGGGGGGTGTTTTGCCAGCTGCGGTCGCCGCAGCCCTGCTGCGCTCGGGGAGGCCCAACCCGCTCTGGGGAGCAGCTGCCGCCTGGCCAGGCTGTCCATGCCGGCGGGGCTGGCCGTGGGTGGCCTCGGGGCCTCGCCCGCTGGGCTGCTGGGCAGGGGACTTGCCCTGCCAGCCGGGCTGGCCCCTGGGCTTGTGAGCGCGGCGGCCGCCAGTCTGGTGGGCGGCAGCTGCCCACGTCCTCCGGGCCGGGCCGGCGCAGGGCCCGGGAATGCAGGAGCTGAGGCCGGTGGCCGCAGAGGGCAGCCAGGCTTTGATGGCGCCCCTGCGCACCTCAGCGGTCCCCCTTACAGCCCGTGGAGCGGGACCCCGTGGTGTGCCACCCCGACCTGGAGGAGCTGCCCCAGGTCCGGCCCGCAGAGCTGCCCGACGAGTTCTTCGAGGTGACTGTGGACGACGTGAGGAGACGCCTGGCCCAGCTCAAGAGTGAGCGGTGGGTGCACCCGGCCAGGCCCCCTAGGTCCGGGTCTCGGGGTGGCAGGAGCCGCCCGGAGTGCCCGGACCCAGACCGTCCCGCCCCCAGGAAGCGCCTGGAGGAGGCCCCCTTGGTGACCCAGGCCCTCAGGGAGGCGCAGCTGAAGGCGAAGCTGGAGCGCTACCCCAAGGTGCGGGGCGCGGCGGGGGGCCGCGGGGGCCACTTGGCCCGGCGCTGTCTCCAGGCTGGGTGTGCTCTGCTGCCACTGACGCGCGGCTTGTCTGGCCCAGGTGGCCCTCAGGGTCCTGTTCCCTGACCGCTACATCCTTCAGGGCTTCTTCCGCCCCAGCGAGACAGGTAGGACCCCCGAGAGGCCCTTCTGGCCCCCGCTGGCCAGGGCTCTGGCTGGGCCCGCAGCACGCGGGAAGGGAGCCCTGCTGGAGGGCAGGACGGGTCTTGGCCGCTCTGACCGCGAGGCCGGACCCAGAAAGGGACGAGGGCCGGGAATGTGGGGCCTGGCCGGGTCCCGGCTGCGGGCCAACCCCCTCCCCTCGCCCCATTCCCCTCCAGTGGGGGCCTTGCGGGACTTTGTGCGAAGCCACCTGGGGAGGCCCGACCTGCCGTTCTACCTGTGTGAGTGCTCGTCGCCCCCAGCCCCAGCCCCCCGGGAGCCCTGCAAGGGGTGCAGGCCCTGACCCTCCTGTCTCCACAGTCATCGCGCCACCGAAGACCATCCTGGACGACCACAGCCTGACGCTCTTCCAGGTGCGATCGAGGGTAGGGCGGCAGGTGTGGCCGCCCGAGAGCCCCTCTGGGGCCGGGCCAGCCCCGGCGGCCTCCGGGGTGAGCGGAGCTGCCCAGCGCCCAGCCTGCGGGTCCCGCCAGTCTGCAGGGCTCATTAGTGACGGTGGCCCTGGTGCTGGCCGGGGTGGTGGAGCAGACATGGCCCATGGAGGCCAGAGGACCCCCAAGGGGAGATGAGCAGGCCACCCCCTTCCCCGGCAAGGTGCCCCACAGCCCTGGCCTCCCCCACCCCACTGCCTCGTGGCCTGGGGGGTACTTTGGGGTGGGGTGGGGGCCCTCCAGCAAGCACTCCTGGGGGCACCTGGTGACACCACAGCAGCCCGTCCCTGCTGGCCTGGTGGCCTTGGGACGGAGGGCGCGGCTGGGCGAGTCGTGGGTGGCAGAGCTCGGGGTGCTGTCAGGGCCGGAGGCCCAGCGTGCCCCAGTCAGGCTCGGGCGCCCAGTGGGTGCTGAGGCAGCCAGGGACTTGCCCCGCCCACGAGGCTCTTCTGCCCTCTGCTTGCAGAGCACCCACTCCGCCTCTGCAGACCCGTGGGCGGGACCCCGCTCCCCACGGGCACACCCCAGGGTTGGAGCGGGGCGCTGGCCGGCTGGCCCCCAATGGCCCCACCAGGCTTGGCCAGCCGCGGCCTCCCACTGGGGTTCCCTGCTTGGACCGCCGGCCTGGCCTTCACCCGCGGGTCTGCCCCACAAGCCGGGGCCCCACCCATGGGCTGCGCTGTACCGGGCGGGCATAGGCGGGTGGAGGGCGTGCCAGGAGGGCTGCGGCCAGCCATGCTGGGGGGGCCGGGGCAGCGCCGAGAGCGAGGCCCGAGCAGACCAGCCGCCCTTGCGCAGGCGAACCTCTTCCCCGCCGCCCTGGTGCACTTCGGAGCCGAGGAGCCCGCAGGTGGGTGTGCGCTCTGGGTCCTGGGCGGTCGGCCAGTCCCGGGCGGCTGGGGCTGGCTGCAGGCAGTGCCCGCCCGGGGGCTGAGGCGGCCTCTCGCGCAGGCCTCTACCTGGCGCCCAGGCTGCTGGAGCACTCGGTGTCCCCCTCCGTGGCCGACGTGCTGGTGGCCAGGTGAGTGGCGGGGTGGACACCGGACCCTGCTAGTGCTGGCCTGCGCCCACACCTGGCCTCCGTCCCCAGGTGTATGTCCAGAGCTGCCCAGACCCCACCCCCGCCACTGGCCCCTGAGGCCACACCCCTGCAGCAGGAGCCCCCCGAGCAACCCCCCGGGCTGGCCCAGCCTCCAAAGCGGGACCTGGGCAAGGTGCCTAAGTGGCTGAAGCTGCCAGGTATGGGGGGAGCAGAAGGGGGGCCGGCGGGGGGCAGGGGGCGCCAGCCCAGGCCTGAGGATCTCTGTATCTGCAGCCAGCCGGAGGTGAGGCCGCC